TAAATAATTACACATAAAATTAAAGTGCTAAAGTAAGTTTTGCGGATAATTTCAGGAGTTCTTTTTATATATTTTCTCATTATTTTATAATGGTTGTATATGCATGTAATGTATCAAACATGTATATAGTGTATTGCTATTGGATACGTAGGGTATAATTGTCTATAGATCAAGTAAAATTATGTATTAGAGATGTATATACATCTATATACATTGTTGATACAATAAAGTATACATTGCAATTTTTTTTGTTTGATATGATCTCAACCAACTCAAATCTCCTCTAGATAATTTCAAATTTTAAATGTAAGCTACTCTCTATGTTTTAAGTCTTTTAATATATTATTCATCCAAAACGACTCATATTTACGGCACAATAAATTTGAAAATTAATGTAGGAGTATGGAAGAATATAAGGGAAAGAAGAAGGAGAAGGAGGGAAATATGGCCGAATGACTATTTTTAATAAGAAATGATAATTAGGCTATATTAGGTAAATAAAATGATCCAATAGACAATTTTTTTTTAATTTTCCAAAATAATTTCATATACTTAAATAAGCTTTCGAGATATTTACTATGAAAATTGACAATTACTTCAAAATTATTATCTTTTTATCATAATACAATAAATTTATCATAATATTTTTCCATCCGATAGCGTCTAAGAAAATTTTTAGCCTCTTTAATCCCTATTTATCATCTAAAAGTCAAAGTAGATTTGGTCAATGATAATTTTGGGACTACATATAGGAAGTTTGACGAGAAACCCCACAATTTTTCATAAATTACAATTGTTTGACCTTTAAAAAATAGAGTTGGACAAACGTTTACGGTTTTTTTATTTGTTCCAATCTATTTGAGCTTTGATTAAATTTGAATCGCGCACCATAGGATTCATCTGAGGATGGCGCTCTTAACATGATTTTCTCCATATTCAATATTCAAACTTGAAACCTCTGATTAAAAATAAAATAATCTCAATACTGCACCACAACTCATGTTAATAACGTTTTTGTTGATAACCAGAGTATTTGTTTAATATTTATGTTCCAATAATGTAGAGGAAATGTCAAGCTTTTGTACACAAATTTCTTTATTAAGAGCGACATATATAATATATTGATAATCAAATCAAAGTAGGTTATTATAATCAAATCTAGAAAGTATGTAAGATTTCAAAATAGGAGAAAAAGATTTTATCTAGTTAGTTTTATCAATCGTTATCAATGATATGAATAATTATACTATTAAAGGTATGTACGAGCATAATATAAAAATAAAAACTTATAATTTTCCACATTAGCCATGAGGAAACGTGTGCATCTAATTTTATACTAATGAACAAGACAATTGACTAATCTTTGGAATATATATATATATATATATATATATATATATATTTCTTGCACGAAAAAAATAATTATTGCATGTAGAGTTCAATTTTGCTTTTTAAACCTAATAAAAGAAAATTCTACCACGGATTAGGAAATGTTTTACGATTAAAGTTACGTAAAGACATAATTTAAAAATAAATTTTCACTTTTATTTATCAGATTTAACCTATTAAGAAAAGACAACTAGTAGTTTTTTTCTCAAGATCTAACACTATAAACTAATTTACATAGGTTTCGAAATAAAGTACACATATAAATCATTATTTTTTAAGAATCATGGAAAAGTCGAACTAAAAAGAAATATTATTCTATACCACGTGGTCTTAGGGTTTGAAACTAAACTTTTTTGACTTTTCCTCAGCTAAATCTATAAATAGGAGTTGTTAGTTTCCACTTTCCCAACATCAAAAATTGCAACAACAAACAATCAATTATGATTACTTTCAACAACTTAACAATCTTTTTCTTTCTCTCAATTTGCCTAATTTCATCATCATGGGCTAACAAAACTCATGATGACTTTCTTAAATGCCTTTCTCACAAAATTATGAACTCAAACTCAAAATCACAAGTTATCTACACTCCTAAAAACTCATCATATTCCACCCTTTATGACTCTTTTTCAAGTAATCTAAGGATAACTTCCGATTTCAAACCATCAATTATTTTCACTCCTAATGATGAATCTCAAATCCAGGAAGCTATACATTGCTCCAAGAAACATGGCTTGCAAATTAGAATTCGAGGCGGTGGACATGACTATGAGGGACTTTCATACATTTCTGAAACCCCGTTTGTCATAATTGATCTTAGAAACCTAAGAGCAATATCCATTGATACGGAAGACAAGACTGCTTGGATTCAAGCTGGCGCGAGACTAGGGGAAGTTTACTATAGAATCGCGGAAAAAAGTAAAAAATTAGCCTTTGTTGCTGGGGTTTGCCCTACTGTTGGTGTTGGTGGACACTTTAGTGGTGGAGGGTATGGTATGATGTCACGAAAATTCGGTACTGCTGCTGATAACATCATTGATGCAAAGTTAATTGATGCTAATGGACGTATCCATGATCGAGAATCAATGGGTGAGGATCACTTTTGGGCTATTAGAGGAGGTGGAGGGACTAGTTTTGGTCTCATTATCTCATGGAAGGTGAAATTACTTGATATTCCACAAAAGGTAACCGTATTCAATGTGACACGAACGTTGGAACAAAATGCAACTCAGCTAGTCTACAAATGGCAACACATCGCGGACAAAGTTGATGACAATCTCCTCCTCAGGATCTTCCTGAGGAGTAGTGAGTCTCCAATCAGGCGTGGACAGAGGACTGTCCACGCCTTTTTCACTACAATGTTTGTTGGAGGAGTAGATGAACTCCTCCACGAAATGAAAGATAAGTTCCCGGAGCTAGGGTTAGTGAAGGAAGATTGCATTGAGATGAGTTGGATTGAATCTATACTCTTCTTTGTGGGTTTCCCTAGAGGCACATCAATTGATGTGTTACTAGATTGGGATAACTCAACTTATCAATCAGGATTCTTCAAAGGGAAATCAGACTATGTCCAACGTCCAATTCCTATAAATGGTCTTGAAGGTATATGGAAACTATTCAACCAAGTAGGCGAAAACTCGGCTGAATTACAATTAAGTCCCTATGGAGGAAAGTTGAGTGAGATATCGGAATCTGAAACACCTTTCCCTCATAGAGATGGAAACATATTCATGATCCATTATGGGGTGAATTGGGGTGAAATGGAAAGTTCTAATAAGCATATATCTTGGATTCGAAACCTTTATGGATACATGGCTAGGTATGTGTCAAGATCTCCTAGAGCTGCTTATTTGAACTATAGAGATCTTGATTTAGGAGTGAACAACAAAGGAAACACAAGCTATGAACAAGCAAGAGTTTGGGGAGTGAAATATTTCAACAACAACTTTGATAGATTGGTCAAAATCAAGACTAAAGTTGATCCAACAAATTTCTTTAGGAATGAACAAAGTGTTCCTCCTCTATATATATAATTTATGCACTCTACAAATAAGGCTTATCATATATAGTAGTTCTTTTATGTATATATATATAGTAATATAGTACTGAAAAATAAATGTAGCCAGGAAGCCTTCCAAAGATATTTTATAAGATGTATTATTGTTTGATTTGTAATAAATTTTCTATGTATTAAATGTTATATCTTGATGTTAGAATTCGTGGGCTTGTTAAATCATATGTTTACCATTGAATATCGAACAATAAATCATAATTCTAATAGTTACTTTTTACTTGGCATCTTTTTCTGTTTGAGACTAAAGAAAGATAAACTTGATTTAATTTACATAACAATTATTAATAAATCAAATTTGATAAAAAAAAAACAAAACTATCTACGTATTTAATCTTCTTTTCAACGTAACTGGCATCGGATAAATGCGTTAATTGCTTAGGATCATGTTTATTTGGATGCACAATTGTAATCATATAATTATATTAAATTTTAAAAATAAAAATTAATTACTTAAAATTTATACTAAACAAATAAAAAACTTTATAAATAATTTTAAATTAAATATTTAAGATATATATTCTTTTTTAAAAATATATTAATTAATAATCATATATTCTTAACTAATATGATGAAAAAATAATTGGTTTATATTTTTTTCAAATTAATATATGTTAATTAAATTGAAGATAAAAACTAAAAATATAAAGTTTCTAATGCATGTTTGATTAACAAAAATTAATATATAAATAAAATGTCAAAATTATTAAAATGTTTGACAAAAATATAGTCTATCAAGTCTAATTAATGTGAACTCAATATTATTAAAACAAATGAAACTGAAAAGATAACGTAATTTATAATTTTAAAACAAAAAAATTAACTTAATACCCTTCTCACAAATTTCAACATAACATACATAAATATGATTTATTTATTTTAAAAAAAAACACAAGTCTATAATTTTACTTAATAATAAATTATATTTTAATTAGAAAATAAGTATGACATAAAGAAATAAATAATACGAAAAAATTAATGATTTTACATAAAGTACGGTGAGACTGAGAAGAAAATAAAATATAATAATATAAATAAAAATAAAACTTTTAGAATAAAAAAAATTAAAATAGTAGAAATACAAATAATTAAAATATATATAAAAAAGAAGAAATAAAAAAGTAATCAACCGTTAATTACACCATTCCCAATTACAAGGGTGGCTTTCCCAGACCATTAAGAGTGATTTTCTCTTATTTCAAAAATAAATTTAATAGAAGAACGCTAGAACAAATATAATATAAAACTACAAATTATTAACTACTACGACATCAAATTCGTCACTAAATTATTTAGAAATGAGCAAAGCATTCCTTTCTATTATCTTAAGCTTAAATAGCTGGTAATTTATATATGCACTCTGCAAACCAAAGCCATCACCGTTTGGTGTTGTTTTGTTGTTCTCACCATTATTTCACTCTTTATACCTTTATTATTATTATACCTTCCTGAGCCATTTATCTTGTCCTATTTTACCATCCCATATCTAACAATTCATTACTAGAAAAACTTCCTCAACTATAAATAGTGGTAGTCTTCATAGAGTTCAAGCGTGGATCCACGCCTTTTTCAAAACCATGTTCGTTGGAGGAGTGGATGAACTCCTTCACGAACTGCAAAAAGAGGTTCCTGGGACTAGGGTTAGTGAAAGCATTCAAAAAAAATTGATTGATAAATATAATTCAAATTTCGTATAAACTACAATTCCTTGTATCAAACAACTAGGCAGGGTGTTCCTTTTAATGTTAATGGCCATTATCGGTATCTTTTACCTTTCTTTTCATCCCGCCTTTCCCTGCTCGCTTAGGTGCCTGCAATCAAAGAAGAAGAGATCAAACACCAAGCCACCAACGTTGCCCATAATAAAGCCAAGAACACAATCATCTAGGATTGTATTTCATATATATGATCATTCCCTTCGATAACCTACATCCTGTTCAAGATGTATTTCCTTGTTTGATCGTGTGGAACGTATTGACTACACAAGTAATCTCAGATCATATCTATATGAATAAGCAGAACTTCATCGATAACCTCTGACAAGTATTAAAAAGAGAGACGAAATACAGTAATACCTAACCCCACAATCCACAAGTTTACCCTTCCTCAACCAAGAAGGAAGACATTTGATCATATCATCATGTTGACAAGACTCGAATAAGTAGAACTTGCTAGTTCAATTTCTAGTGGTACACAGACAAAACATGAATGTAAAATCACCAACACATACAGCTTAGTGCAAGTAGAGGTTGGGGAGGTATACCTCAGCTGAAAATGTTTTAAGAGGGTCTCTGCTTCTTTTGAACCTTCCCTTTGATCCTTTGCCACGAGATGGATTAGTATTGCCCATTGCAGCTCTGGCCAGCTTCACAATCTTGCTAGCTTCTTGTGTCGTTGGATCTAATAGGTAGTCAGGTACATCACGTAGGTGAGCGGCAGGTGCTTTCTTGCTTAACATCTTATCATGCTTCAGAAGATCTGCCCAGAACATTTGAATATAATGAGACCTACTATGTTCACTCAAAGTACATCCCACAAACTACAGCCTAATTACCTAAGTCTTTTGGATTATCTTGAAAATGAGCCTTCAATCTGGATAATACAAGCGGAAGAAGTAGTTAATACAGATTACAAGTCAAGCACAGCAAAATACAATCATTGAAAAATATAAAATCAGTAACCAGGCTTGGAAAGTGCCTCCTAACAGATAGGTGAAGAATATTAACAAACAAATAACTATATGAAAGCAAACTATTAATCTACAAAATAAATATATGACAAATATTGTAACTTCTTCCCAAAGGTATAAGTTTTACTCCAGCTTTAACATATTATGAGACATTCAAATCATTTGATAAAGTATTGAGTCATTCAAATCTTGAATTTCCATGAAAAGAAATCTGAATTAATTTAAAGCAGATATGCATCATACAGTCGAGAGTGAGTAACAATTGTACCATCAAAAATCCCCTTTTAACTGAAAGAACTTCTATTTGAGTGATGTCTGAATCAGAACAATGAGGCTGTCATCACATTTCTAAACTACTTAAAGTGATGAACTATGGGAAGGTCCTTAACTCCTTATCAAAAAAAGAATGGGATGAGGAGGACAATTACACCTAGATTGGACGGAAACATGACACTTATTTTTGGACAGAAACTGAGCTATATTCTCAGTAATTGTCAGAAATTAGCGCAATAATACATGAACAGTGAAAAAAGGAAAATGAGCTATTCAAAGAAGAAAAGAAAAAATAAACAGAGTAGCTTACTTTTGAGAATTAAGAATTTCATTCCTCAGATCCTGAGCCCGTGATTCTCTTACTGCAATTTTTGTAATACTCCTTCCAACATCCTACAGAAAAGATGGCAGTCAAGCAATCTAGACTCCCAAAACAAAGAAATCGGCAGGAGTGCACCAGCATACAGTTCAAGTTAACTGCTTTTCCATAAAAATATATGTATATCTTTACTTCCTTTTGTCCGGGTGATGGCGGCGAATGAGATGGGCTTGCAGTAAACCAAATTCTTAAAAGTAGTCACACGAGTTAATTTTACAGCATGGATCGTCTTGTATAGTTAAAGCATGCTTGTGCATCAAGAGGTTGACAAAATATGGACTAATTAATAATCTGTTGATTTACAGATTGGTGAATTTGGACATACAACTCAAATTTATTCATGATTACCAATGAGGCTCACTTTTTAAACGCTCTATACAACTAAATGTAACATCTAAATATTTGTCTGTTTCTTTTCACAAAAAACATACTCGAGATAGTTAAAGCAGGAAGCATTATATACCTCTGTAAGACACTCACTTGATAACCTTAACTTCACAAAGTTCACTGCTACTAGGACTAGGTGACACTCCTAACTCGGCTAGGCTCCCAATAGTAACTTATACTAGGACTAGGTGACACTCCTAACTCTGCTAGGCTCCCAATAGTAACTTATCACACAATGACTATTGTAGAAATACAATTGATGAAAGTTTTACCTCAGCTCGGTAACGCAAAGACTCTACTGCATTTTTACTCAGCAATGGGAATGGAGCAATAAACTGTGACACCTTGTCTTCATTTTCCCCCAGTAAAGATTTAATCTCTTCAAATATTTCTGTCTCTTCATCAGAGACCTGTAACAAAACAAAAACATGGTCAAAAAGGCAAAAAGAAAACATAGTTTTCTCCTACAGTCGTCGGAAGAGAGTTCATAGGGAAGGAAGACTTAAGTAATTTTTAGATAAGATGTATAAAACCGATTCCCCAGCCTATGATCTACGAAGTCATGCCACTCTCAAATGAAAAACAAATTCAGAGAGTAGATGAAATAAGAACATTGGGTAATTTGTTAATGCCAAGAGCGAAATTCTATGAATCAGCAGTTCAACATTTAAAAACCAAACAACATTAAAACACATAACCTAATATCCAATAAGTAATCAACTAAATCATATGCTAGCAATCACAATTGTATATCAATGACCTCAGACATGTCTTCAAACTACTCACAAGAGAGACAGATGCTCCAGTATTATATGCTCTTCCAGTACGTCCAATTCGATGTACATAGCCTGCAGCTGTTTGAGGCATCTCATAATTTATCACCTGTGCAAAATAAGACATAAAGAGGATATGGAGTATTAGGTCTATGCAAAATCCAGAACTTCTATTCAGACTGGGTTGTGTATCCTCTATCACTAAATGGCTCAACAGGAAATGATAAAAGAAAAAAACATAAGCCGCCAAATGGAGGACAACATTCCATAAAGAACAGAACAAACTTACCGTATGCACATTTTTGAAGTCTATCCCTCTGACTACACCAAACTCTGCATCCAATTTATGCTTTCGATGTTTTTTTGATTTTTTTCGCTCACTGCCATTTTGATCATCAACTTTTTCCTTTCCTTCTGATTGACTTTCATCAGTCGCAATCAAGTAATCAAATAGCCCAGCATTAAATTCCTGCTCAGAAGAAGAAAATTATGAGACTAGTGCAATAGTAGACTTCACAAGAAGAGTTGAACTATAACAAAAGCCATACAACAGGTGTGCATTTCTTGGCATTCTACACTCATATGACAGACCTCAAGGATGTGTAGACGAGAACTCTGAGGCAGCTCGGCATTTAAAACTGCAGACTTGATCCCAAACTGCAAAATGATTAACCAGGATATCAAAAATACTATCAGGAACACCTCAGGCAGGCAGTAAGTATAGCATCGGAAACATAGACCAATAACCTATAAGCACCCAGAAGATTACAGGTCATAAATGTAGCCTTATAGAAAATAGATAATATAGTGACCTGCAGCCAGTTTGGCCAAGATTTTGGGAACACTGAAAGATCTTATCTTTAAAAATGGAGGTGTTTAGCCAAGCTTCTAGGGAGAAAATAAGTGCTTTACTAATGCTGAGAAAAATTATTTTTTTTACCTAAAGTACTTTTTTGAATGAGAAAATACACTTAGAAGCACTTTTTGAAAGCTTGGTCAAACACTAGCTGCTAATCAGAAGTGCTTTTAAATTGATTAACCAAATACAAACGACTTTTCACCAAAGGTAGTTTCTTGAAAAGCACTTCTCAAAATAAGCTGATTTTAGAATATTGGCCAAACATGTTGCTATTGAATTTTGTACAAGCCAAAACTACACTTTTGCACATCCAGCGGATCCACGACTCCCTATAACTTTCAACTATGATTGAGCACAAACAAACAAAAAGCACTCCCTCTATGGGCTGCATCATCTAGTCATCTACATAGACCGGGAGGTATAACAGAACTAACTTCAACAATTCCTAAAGATGTGCTTTCATAAAACAAAAAAGTAATAATATAATAATTATAATAACAATAAGAGAAGAACAAAGAAGTTTCAAGTGGCAAAGATGTTTTGGTGCTTCTAATAGAGGTATTCATAAGATAAGTATGACATTTACATAGAACAACATTTATAAATTGATCACATGTCCTATGATATTAGTGACATCATGTACATGGATGTACCTGCTCAAAGAATAGTTTGAGTCTAAAACTCGTGTCAATTGAATTTGTAAATATCAAGACTTTTTTCTGGACCAACTCAAGCTTCAAGAGGGCAAGGACATGGACAAGCTTATCACGAGCAGCACAAGAAATCTGAACAAACAATAGAAGTTGTTGTTAGAGACACAAAACTATAAGAAATCTGAACAAACAATAGAAGTGGTCGTTAGAGACAAGAAACTATAAGAAATCTGAACAAACAGTAGAAGTGGTAGTTAGAGACACGAAACTATAAGAGAAAACAATAGCATAGAACACAAACAATACACAGTTGTTGAGGTGTATATTTGTTGTTGTAATAAGACGTCTAAAACAAAAGTGTCCTGCCCTGGGAAATGCCTCTGCCTACTAGAAGGTAGTGTCATAATGTGGCACTTATCCATCACAAGAGGTTGAAAAGCGTGTGACGATTGAACATATAATTTACCATTTTAGATGACTCCTAAATTCACACCTTAGAACAAAAGATACAGCTTCTTAGTCAGGTATTACAGAAACCAAAAGTATGAGGATCACTCTATCAAATTAAACATATTTATATAAAGTACCAAGACGGCACCAAAACTCCCTCACTGAATAAGTGTTGAAGAGAGGACAGACTACTAAAGCAGTTATTCTATTGAAGGTGTATACTTACATAAAATTGCTGTACATTTTTTGGGATAATGTCATCCTTTGTTTCTCCCACCTCAGGCAAAGTCAGGATGTAGGGATTGTGTAAAATAAGCTTCTTCAGCTTTTCAACGTCAGAACTGCATATTAACACGACCAAGAAAGTTCATATCCAAACCTTGAGATGTGGGGGGTTGGGGGGGGGGGAAGATGGGAAGTAAGATGGTAACAATCAAGAACTTTGTGCTGGAGAAAACCAGCATAGGCGACAGTGGAAGAATCAGCAAGAATTTGCTTGACATATATATGTGAATATAGTAAGGCGAGCATACCTTGAGGTTGCAGACATCAGAAGGCACTGGCAACGTCTTGGTACATGAGATGTAAGAGCTTTCAGATCATCTTCATATCCATAAGACAAAAGAAGATCTGCCTGATACAGAAACATAATTCTCAACCTCATGTCCTTTCGGGTGAATACAATCAAACACAATCCAATTCTAATGCAAACATTCAAATTCACAAATGAAAGAGAAAAGATATGAAATCAAAAAGTAACTATCACTACTAAAGGTGGGTCATAAACCTCGCCAGATACCAGAGTCTATTGTATCTAGTAAGTTTTACCTAATATTGGATATGAACCGTTGACTATCACCATACAAAACCGGACCTTTACAGTAAAACTTTTGAGATTTTAAACAGTGCAACTCATTACATATCTCACCACATCAGCAAAAAGTCTTTCCACTAAAAGAATTTAAGAGGAACAATGTAACATAAACTAACCCACCTCATCGAGAATGAGAATGGACAGAGAATCTTGAACAGCTTTCCCTTGAATAACTCCATTTGACAAGCATGTCTGTATACAAGCAGGAGTAGATATAACGATCTCCGGAGGCCCCGCCAATGTAGTTCTCTAAAAACCATAAGATCATAAAAAACGATCACTTTATCACATACCCATAAAGATTAAAACTTCATAATCAGCAAACAATTGTGAACAAAAGAAACCAACCAATTCAGAAACAGACATAGAACTTGTCAATTGGACAAGCCTTAATTGCACTCTACATAGTTCAATCAACGAATTCGCCTCCGAACAAACCTGAACAACAACAAACACAATTAAAATAAACCCACAAACTCAAAACAAAATAAAACCCCAAAATAATAGCAAAAAGTTTCAACCTGTTGACACAATTCCCTTGTAGGTACAAGAATCAACGCAGTAGGAGCAAGATTCTTTGTTGAAGATGACTGAGTAAAAAGCTTGTGAAGTAAAGGAAGGAGATAAGCAAATGTCTTTCCAGAACCAGTCTTAGCTCGAGCAACCACATCTTTCCCTTCCTAAAAAAAAAAAGTAGCCATAGACAATGAAATCAGCTCAACAAACAAAACTGCGAAGAGAATGAAAGTATTGTAAACTTACGAGGATTAGAGGAATAGCAACTCGCTGAATAGGAGTTGGTTTATCGATAGTTTTCTTGGTTAAAGCACGGATTAGACGAGGGTCAAGTCCCAATTCTTCGAAGGTTTGTTCTTCATCTTCCTCAATCTCAACTCTTCCTTCTCTGTTCATTCTCTGGTACGCGAGGGTTTTGGGTTTTGGGGGAAGACTACTACACAAAGGGTTTAAGGAATAACCTAAGCGCGGCTACTAACTTTTCATACCCTCTGGCCTCAATATATTTTGGGATTAAAAATATTGTTGATACCGTCGTAAATACCCTCAAGAATTAATAATTGTGATGTGGTAAGTTACGTTATACTAATTTCACCATCTAAATTTGTCAATTAGGATACTCACGAAGGATTTTTTCTAAGCGATGTCATCATTGAGAAAAATGTATCAAGAAAAAAATCAATTAAAATTTTATTTTAGGCCTCCAATAATTTAGGCCTCTTTTAAGTAGATAATAGTATAAAATTTTAAAATGAATCATTCACATTTTCATATTATTAAATAAATCGGCAATGAATTTATATTAATTACTTCACTTCACCGCTCATCAACGTGTTGTTCCAAGTCAGTGGAAGCTTGAATGGTTAACATTTGACTTTGAACATTTGTAATTTGTTTTAGAATAATATCTCTTCATTAAAAAAAATTAGACTAATATAATTTAATCTACATAATTAATAATTGAGGATTAAAAAATAGAGACTTGCGGACAATTTTGATCAAATTTAATGAATTAAAAATTATTTTATCATAACAAGTAAATAATTTCCCCACGATTTAAAAGCAATTTTGATCATTGTTTGTACTATATATATAGAGAAAAGAATCAAATATATTTATGTACTATTAAAAATGATCAAAATATACCCTTTATTATACTTTTAAGCGAAACTTTCGCAAATAGGACTATAATAAACTTAATTATGTCTCATAGCTATAATTTGCATATTTAGGGGTTGCAGCTATAATTTAAGTTATTTCGTTTGTATAATTCGCGGGTTTGTATAGTTTGCACATTTGTATAATTCATGAGTGCATTTGTGTAAGTTAGTTATTTTTGTATACATTTGGAAAAAACGAATTTATACAACTACAAACAGCTAAAGTATAAACAGTTACACAAATTATATTATACAAAAGTTATACTAGTTATATTAAACGAGCAAGGTATAAACAATTATACAAATTATATTAGGGGAAAATAATAAACATCCCACCTTTTCTCTCATTACCATTATTCCCTATTAGTTTTGCAAATCCCCAAAATCTCATATTTTCACGCGTCAGATTAATGTATCAACATATCAAATTAATGTATTTTGCGCATCTGATTAATGTATCTCGCACATCAAATTAGTATATCATGTATAAAATATAATGTATCTTGCTTAACGATTAATATATCTCGTGCATAAGATTAATACATCAAGACTTATGTTATTGTATCAATTTGAGTAATCTCTCTAATTATAAAATGTCCTTTGCCCATGTACAAAAGTTATACAAATTTGAATGAGGCTTCAAACCATTACATCAACTTGACAAGGGTACTATATGACACCCTTTGTCTTAAAATCACCAAGGTTAGCATATTTGAATTATAGGGATCTTGTTTTGGGAATCACACATAATGGGACATTGAGTTATTTTGAAGGGGAAGTGTATGGGATAAAGTATTTCAAGAAGGAAACTTTCCATAGGTTGGTGAAGATCAAGACTAAAGTTGATCCTCAAAATTTCTTTAGGAATGAACAAAGCACACCAGTTCACCATGAATGGAGGAATTGTAGACACTATAGGGCAAAATATTGAATTTTTTTGGTAATAAGACAACTTATTTATATAAAAATGAGTGAGTACGTCCAGAGACGACGGAATTAGAATTTTCAAATGGGGGGTTCATAATCGATAAAAATAGATAGCCTATGATGGTTCGACATCTATTAAATATACATATAAACTTATTTTAATTATGTATAAATAATATACAGTGTTGTTTAGGCTTCAGACTCCCAACTTAAATATACTAATTATATGAGAAATCTAATAGTGAGAATACAATGTTGTACTAATGTGAGTAATTTATTTAAGGGAAATCATAATTCATTTGTTATGCAGATGTATATTAATTTTTTCAAATATAAAACTGTAGTCGTGTATATATATATATATATACACACACTGTATGGGTGCCGCTTCTATTAAAACTATATATATATATATATCGTGTAAATTTTTACGACAATTTTCACCCCTCTAGTTGTAAAATGGGCGACATATAATTCAAACATGCTAACCTTTCAATCGTGCAAATATATACCTGACCATCTATTGAATGTGGTCTAAAGCCAAAATTTGGAAAATTTATCTTATGTTTATTTTTTTTTTCATATATTTTATTCTCATAGATGGTTAATTAATTATAATTTCATAATTAATTTTCTTTTTCAATTCACACTAAAACATTTCGTATAATATTTTGTAATCACTTATAAATTATTGTACATTACATATAACATGATTACAAAATGTGTAAATCTCTTATTGACTATAATTTTTGAAACTTTTACACTAGATCCAATTGTTATACAAATTATCAAAATTATTCTAAAAAATGTCTTAAAATGAAATTAAGATTTCACTTAATTGAATATGCTAATTAGAGTATCATTATTTCTCTTGTATACCATTTCTTATTACTTTAATTACAAAAATCAATATTATAGTGATTTTACCTTTTAAAAGTTATTCAAATTAGTCAACACAATATCTTTTTTAGAATTTAAGTATTTGATCCCAAGTAATCAATAATAAAATAAATATTTGATCTCACCTTCAAATCCAGAATACACCTCGTGCTATGATGATAAAAAAGACTAGTTATCGGCAACACTAATTTGGTACATATATACACAAACACTAGACATGCTGTCATGGGATGGAAAAACAAAAGCTTGTCTTTTTTCACACAATTAGTTTCTTAAAGATTGTAACTCATTTAATCTCTTCTTATTAATATTAATGCTTCTTTGTTAAAAGGTAGGAATGGAGATTTGTAGGGATTATTTTTTTAAAATAGTACTGTGTCTACTTAAAATCAAGAAAGAAAAATATTAGAAAAATGACAAGTATCCTCTTAGATTATGATCGTAATTTCAGAGATACACTTTAATTAAAGTAAGATCTTATTATCTTTTGAACTTATTTTTTTTATTTTGTGCACTTTTTATTTTATGTTGCAAATTCCATGACTCCACGCAATTGAGGCACGAGGAAGATATTTAGATTTCACGTAAGTCAAAAAGATGCATAATTTTTTTTTTTTAAAAAAAAAAGTTTGGGAGGGGGAGAGAGAGGGGTTAATAGGACCTTAATTTAGTTAAGATGTGTCTCTTAGATTTTAATCATATTATAGAGGTACTTGTGCATTTTTCCAAAAATATAAAACTAGTCATAATCACCCTCACTTATAGGAAAAATATCATATCTAAAGTATTTATCTTTTACTTATTTTTAAGGTATATTATATAATTTTAAAAATAATTGTAGACTACGACAGTTCTTTTTACTTATTTGCTAGTATATATGTAATTTTATTTTGTTAAAAGACATGTAAATCAAAGGCAACATATGATATTGCTCTCTTAATTATTAGTCTTGTTATGGAGTTTGAATATGAAATTTTTTTTGATAAAAAAGGCTTCCATCAAATGAATCCTACATATTCTGTATGAATCCAAATAGATCGAATTTTAATACGAATATTAAATACTCTCATAATTATTATTTGCCGAAGATTATAGGTAAGTAATTAAGTATGTTTATGATTAGGGAAAAGGGTCTGATATACCTCTCAACTTTGTCATTTGGAGCTGATATACTCCTCGTTATAAAAGTGGCTCATATATACCCTTATCGTTATACAAACGGCTCACATATATCCCTACCGGAGGTTTTAACCAAACTAAGTCATTATATAAAGTCATTCACCAAAATAATATGTTTTTCTAAAATTTTACAAAACTAGTATAAACGTATTCCACAGTAACGTTTTAGGATATATTTTATTTTTTAAAGTTGATGGTGTCAGATTGATATACGTTACTCACAGTAACGTATATCAACCTAATGTTGTTAGTTTTTTTTTTAAAAAAAAATATACCCTAAAACGTTACCGTGAAATACGTTTATACTAGTTTTGTAAAATTTTAGAAAAATATATTACTTTGGTAAATTGTTTTATATAGTGACTTAGTTTGGTTAAAAATTCCCCTGCCGTTACAAAATGGCTCACATATATCCTTTATTTAACAGAATTTTAAATAATTAGTTTTAAATTTATATTTATTACTTATAATTTTTTTAAAAAAATTATTTAGTGGTATATATGATTCTTCTTCAAAGTATATTTTAATTTTTTCATTCATAAATTATTTTTTGACTTCTTTTATTATAATTATTTGAGTTTCTTATTCTTATTTTATTTTTTTCTTTCATTCCTTAGTTTAAAGAGAGAAAAATAAACTATTTTTTGTGTGTATTTTAATTTAATTTTATATTAGAAAAAAAATTTGGTCATCTACAATAAGTTTTACAAGAATATTAGTGAAACATACATAAATTTGATTAACAAAATAATAATTATAAATTAGTCATTGAAAAAAAGTCAAAAAAAAAAAATTTGACGAGTATTAAATTTACTCCTATGAGATTATATTTTTTAGAAAAAAATAATAAAAATTTAGATTGAAAATTATTATTTTTTTATTTCCGTTAGAGGAAAAGGGTATATGTGAGTCATTTGTTTACAAGTAGGGGTATATATGAGTCACTTTCATAACAAGGGATATATCAGCTCTAAATGACAAAATAGAAGTCGTATATGATTCAATAAAGTTGAGTCCATTAAAAGCTTTAATCAAATAAGCAAAACCATTTTGTACAAGTAAATAATTGATTTTCCAGCAATAAAATAATCTCAAGGGTTGACCAGAAAGTGGGGACACCCATTAATTATTAGTGCTTGTGCACGATACGTTATAAATTTTTAATTAGCATTTTCTAAAGTTTAAGTACTAAAAACTGATCTAAAAATTTTAAATTATATTTTGTGAATTAATAACAGAAATTAATAAATTATTTATAAATATTAAGTGGATTTTCAACCCAAAATATAAAGTTTTCGCAAATTATGGCTCTACTTTGGCCCAATGTA